ATGAACACACATCTATCGATAAAGAAATTAATATGAATATGAGCGTCTGTTCTCCTAATAACATATTTTTTTGAAAAATTTTGCAAGTGTCAGAAAATACTTTATATAAATATGACGATAAAATGAGTTTAATATATATAAGTATGAACACACATCTATCGATAAAGAAATTAATATGAATATGAGCGTCTGTTCTCCTAATAACATATTTTTTTGAAAAATTTTGCAAGTGTCAGAAAATACTTTATATAAATATGACAATAAAATGAGTTTAATATATATAAGTATGAACACACATCTATCGATAAAGAAATTAATATGAATATGAGCGTCTGTTCTCCTAATAACATATTTTTTTGAAAAATTTTGCAAGTGTCAGAAAATACTTTATATAAATATGACGATAAAATGAGTTTAATATATATAAGTATGAACACACATCTATCGATAAAGAAATTAATATGAATATGACCGTCTGTTCTCCTAATAACATATTTTTTTGAAAAATTTTGCAAGTGTCAGAAAATACTTTATATAAATATTTTTGTAAAATTTTACAAATGTGAGAAAAGGCTTATAACGACAGTAGAGTTAACAGCCATATTAGAACATTCGCTCATAGAACTTTGGGGGGTGAAGAATAGTTAGGGAATGGACGCGAGAGTTGATAAAAATAGATGAAAAATGAATCGTTGAAATAGTTGGGAATATTTTGTTTATATTGTAGAATTTAAAAAATAGTATTTGTCCGCAAATTTATCGCTTCTCGGCCGAATGGCTAAGATCAAAGTGTAGTATCTGTTCTTATCAGCTTAATAAATTTCGCGATATAAAGTGTTTTAAGTGATTTTTGGAAAAATTTTATTTGTCAGGGGCCTGCTCCGCTTCCGACGATTTGCCAGCGCTTCCAAAAGGCTTTCGCTAACTAAAAATAAATATTTGACTTATTCTAAAACTGTGATGTGTTCCATTCGCGAGTAAATCATACGGGTAAGTTTTCTCATTATGACATAGTATAAGTACGTAATATGTGTGTGTGTGCATGTGTGCGTGTGTGTGTGTACGCACGTATGTTGGTTTGTAGGTCGCGCGTGTATGCGGGTGGACATGTGTGCTGACGGTTTGATTGTATGTGTGATTGCAGCTCGCGCGTCTCGTATACGTATAGCGGTACATGGTGCATGGATGCATTTCGCTGATCGGTAAAATACGCGATACAAAAAATTAACAACGTTGCGCGTCTCGCGCATAATTACTGTTCGAGAATTCTCAAACCTTTATTTTTCTCTTATTATAATTATGTGTATTTAGTCGCGCGACTATAATTATAATTTCGCGCTATATATAAAATAATAAATACTCATTACATACTCAAATTACTATTACGATATACATTTTGCATTGACAACCATATCGTTGTAAATGCAATTATATTGTTACTGTAAATTCAATACATTTTTCTTTATTTAAATTTGAAACTAAAAACTAACTAACTACTCTTACTCGCATTATATCCAGAATTATAATTATACTTATAGTCGTGTTTTTTACTTTTGCCATACACTTTCTCTTTTTACTTGAATAAAATCGCTTAAAATAATAATAATTAAGCCTACATTATATTATTAAATTACTTCTCTACCGATCGGTGAATGCATACTTGTAGACATAAATAATATACCTACATATAGCTGCATTACACAAAGTTTGTTATTACCACCAACCACTTCCATCATATCAAAGTATAATATATTTCTACCAAAATCCATTCACAATTCAGTTATATTTTCGTATTCTGTTATATCAATCGTTCAAAATTTTCGATGCATTCTGTCGCGGAGTGTACCGATCACGCCATTGACGCGTCATAGCGCAAACCCGTCTCCGCGGAACATTAAACGGTGAGACACGAACTCAAATCGATTACTGTTTCACATATATATATATACATATATCTAAATTTTTTGCTCAACTAAATTCAAACGCACTATATCACAATTATAATTATGATTCCAATCTTTAATTACATCGTCAGTAACTCTAAACCTCATTTCGCTTTACACAACTTTCACAATTACCATAAATTGATCCTCACACTTTGACATGCGCTCCACTGGGCGTGTAATAGCAAGCGAGGCACGTTCTCGACACAGCGACATGCGCGTTCGCTGTCTACAAGAGAGTTCGACGAATCCCAAACAGTGGGATTATAATAGACACTCAAACTAAATACATGACATGTTTTAAATTATTATTATGTTACACGTTATTGATTTTTTTTTCCTCTCTTATAATTATTTATTTACTTTTTGCATTTTATTTTTATATCTATTTTTGCTTTTTATACTTATATTTATGTCCTGTATATAAATTTATTTTGGCCCATTTTACTTTTTATTTATTTATTTATTTATTGATTTTTTATTATTATTTTATTATTATTATTATTATTTATTATTATTATTATTATTATTATTATTATTATTATTATTATTATTATTATATTATTATTATTATTATATTATATTATATATATATATTTTTTTTTTTTTTTTTTTTTTTTTTTTTTTTTTTTTTTTTTTTTTTTTTTTCTTTCTTTCTTTCCTTGCCCAAAACCAATATAAACCAACATATGAATGAATCAATGAATAAATGGTGATATGCATGAAATGTCATGAGAAAACTTGCCCCAAATAAGAAAGATACTACATGAGCTCCCAAAGAAGCTTACCCGGACGCAGGCCTGCAAAGCCTTGGGACTACGACCTCAGACTTTCGCTCAGCACAGAAAATACTACTTCTGCAGAGTCTGAGGTCGTCTACCTGGACCTACCATTGAAAGATGACAAAGCACAATGCCCCAAATGCAGGAAAGCATACACCCAGAAGAGTAAACTTATGATGCATTTGAGGATAGAGCACCATGCTGTGCTCAAATACAAATGCTCGCTATGCAACTTACCAACATCGTTAAACGCATTTAGGGGCCATCTTATGAAATGTGAAGGCCGCGGGAAAAAGGCCAATATGACAAAACATAATAAATCGACCAAGCCAACACCCAGCACTCCACAAAAATCCGCTTCTGCAGTTGACCCAAATATTCAGGCTGGGACCAGCAGACCTGCTTCAATCACCAAAACGAGACCTAAAACTGCAGTAACCACAATAGCGACCAGGAATATAACCCCCCCTCCAGCCTCTAGCTCTCAAATTATGACAAGATCAAGAACTAGAGCCGCGAGTGTGCCTCCATCAGACCGAAGTCAGAAGGGTGGTAGAGTTATTTGGAGAACGAAAAGCGCGACTTTAGACACAACAGGCGGAAGCCCGGAATTCACCGCAGCTGAAATATCATCACCAAAACCTAATCCGTCAGTACTACTTCGCGAAGAAACCGGCGACAATATTCCGTTGTGGCCCAGTCCAATAGAAATAATCACAAATAGAACGAGCGGGAAAAAGCTGCCCACCATTTCAGAGACGCCACCGGAGCCGGAAACACCAGTTTTGCTACCCGGAACATCAAACAATAAAATCCCGACGCGGCCTAATTTAACAGCGAGAAGAGGCAAATCAAACGGAGGACGAGAATCCACCACGGTTGAGATTTCATCAGAACTCAATCCACCAGGACAATTGCACGAGGAAACCGGCGAAAATATTCCGCTATGGCCCAGCCCAATAGAAATCACCACAACTAGAACAAGCGGAAGCGAATTGCCTACCACAGCAGAGATGCCACCGGAGCTGGAACCGCCAGCATTACTACCCGGAATAGTACACGATGAAATTCCAATGTGGCCTAGCTTAATAGTGAGAAGAGTAGCAACTGAAGAAAATACATCCGAAACAAATGAAGAGACAACGCCCCCGATCGAGGTGATTTCCAACGAGAATGAAACGGTAACAGCAAACGAAATGGAGAGGGAAATTGCGGAACGCCTGCGTGATATAAGAGCAATAGTAGAAGAAATCAACACTCGGCCAAGCGAGACTCCATCGCGAGAAGAGGGCGTCCGCCAACAAACAAGAAACAAAGGAACCATCCCGACGCCTACATTGGTCACTCCAAAAATGACGGAATTCCAGATCGAGGCCTGCCGGAGGATTCAGGCTATTGCAACACCGGCCGACCTGGATAAAGAAATCGAAGACATATCAAATTCAATCAAGCCGAATGAAAGCGCTGAACCCCGAAACGAGACTGGTCGCAGATACCGACCCAATACCGACCAGAGACGACGTCGTAGGAGGAATACGGATATGACCTTTGACCCCGCCGCTGCTGCCCGCATACAAAAACTATACAGACGAGATAGAAAAAGGGCGTTTAGGGAAATAACGGAAAATAACGAAAGAGCTTATTGTCACTTTGAACCCGAATTCCTCCACGCATACTTCAAGGCCGTCTACCGAAGACAACCAGATCCGGAACCATCAGAAGCCATGCCAGAAATTATACCGCCAATAACACCGGTGGGAGATGGGAACAATAATCCTCTTACTAAAGATTTCACAGCAGAAGAGATCTGGGCCCGTGCGCTTAAATGCAAAAATACGGCACCGGGTCCCGATGGCATCAGATACTGGCTATGGAAAAAATGCGACCCTGGCTCGCATATATTAGCGGCAATATTTAACCAAACACACAAACTGAAGTATGTACCACGCTCGTGGCAAGTGTCGGAGACCATCTTAATTCCGAAGAAAGGCGACTTGGATGAGGTCACGAGCTGGAGGCCTATCGCCCTGTCGAATACAATTGGAAAGCTATACGCCTCGGTTCTGGCAGATCGCCTGGGCAAATGGTGCAAAGAAAATAACCGCATCTCAAACGCACAAAAGGTTTCATGCCATTTGAAGGTTGCAGCGAACATAACTACACGCTGCAATCTTCAATTCAGGATGCCAGAAGAAAACGAAAAGAAATCGCGGTCGCATGGCTGGACCTAAAAAATGCTTTCGGTTCGATCCCACATAAAACAATCTTTAACGCAATGCGCTGGGCGGGACTGGGCAGCGAGAGCATTGCCCTGATAGAAAGATTTTATAGCGGATGCACGACGAAGATCAGAAGCGTCCAGGGATCAACGGAGGACGTTCCAGTAGAAGCGGGAGTGAAACAGGGATGTCCGCTGTCTCCTATAACATTCAACATGGCCATTGAACCGCTGCTACGAGCCATCCGAAACACGCCAGAAAACTATAATGCAAACGGCACCATCAATAACGTGCTGGCGTATGCCGATGATCTTGTGCTGATGGCTGATAGCGCAGAAGGACTGCAGAAACTGATGGACACTACAGCTACGGTTTCAAAATGGAGCGGACTGCAGTTCAACACCAGAAAATGCGCCACGTTGCATGTGGACGGCAAACAACACCGAGCTATTACTACAACCTTCAGCCTGAATGGAGAAACTATGAAAACCTTGGACATGGACCAATCTTATGAATATCTAGGCATCCCAACGGGTTTTCAGAGTTTCAGTTCGGCCGACGAAGTCATCAGGGCGATGAGGAGGCATGCGGAGCAACTGAACAATTCGTTACTAGCCCCCTGGCAAAAGGTGGACGCCTTAAACACGTTCATCATGCCGCAATTACAATTTCACCTCCGGAACGGTAAAACCACGAAAAAACTACTATGGATATACGACCGGGAGGTGAAGACTTACGCCAAGAAGTGGGCCAATCTGCCAAAGCGAGCCAGCGCTGAGATCCTATATCTCGCCTACAAAGAGGGAGGCTTCAACCTGCTACCAACCTCTTTCTTGGCAGACATCGGACAGGTCGTCCATGCGCACAGACTGCTCACGTCCAACGATGACAGCGTCGCAGAAGCAAGTCTGGCAGCGCTGAAGGAGGTTGTTCGGAAGAAAACGATCAGAGAGGCCACGCCGAAGGAACTCGTTGACTACATCAACGGATCTGACGAAGGATTGGTGGCAAAACCGAGCAACGACATTAGTTCGACATGGACGAGACTCAGAGCAGCCGCCAGACGCCTAAAGGGCAAAATCAACTTCCTCCTCGAATTGGACTCACTGCAAGTGGACGACAAGCGCGTTGAGAGACAGAATTCAGAAAGCGCACTAAGAACAGCGGCGCGGAATCACTTCCGCAACAAACTTATACTTAAACCCGACCAGGGAAAAGCTATGGAAGTGACATCGGCCAACTCTGTCTCCAACCACTTTATAAGAGATGGCAGTTTTACAAGATTTGCCGACTGGCGTTTCATACACAGAGCCCGTCTGAACGTACTGCCGTTGAACGGGTGCCGAAGATTCGGCCAGAACGACAAACGGTGCAGACGATGCGGCCACCAGAACGAGACGCTGCCGCACGTGCTGAACCACTGCCGTCCACAGTTTGTCACCATGACGAAAAGACATAACGCGATTCTAAACCGATTGACAAAAGCAATGAAGGTGCCACCTGGATCCAGAACGTTTATCAATCAGCAGATCCCGGGATATTCTGGAGCTGAGAGACCCGACGTAGTCATTATAGACGAAACACAGAAAACCGCCTTGATTATGGATGTGACGGTGGCGTTCGAGAACCGGCCTCAAGCATTCGTTACTGCGAGAGCTGAAAAAATCAGGAAATATAGTGCCTTGGCCAATCATTTACATACTCAAGGCCTAACCACCAAAATCCTGGTATTCGTCATGGGATCACTCGGGGGATACGACAAAATAACGTCGAAACCTAATAGCCTTAGGAATAGGCCGCCGCTACTCTGTGCTAATGAAGCGCCTGATGGTGTCCGACACTATCAAATGGTCCCGTGACATGTATGTCGAACACATCACAGGAAGCAGACAATACCACGGCTGAGGAGGGACGAGAAAACTGTTGAATGACGATATTATAACCTCAACGAAAACATTCTACCCAGCACCATGGCTGAATAAGGACCAAGACTGAAGAATATCGAAGCTATTGCTCAAATAATTTTATATACTTTTTGATGTTATGAATACTATATTATCCACGATATGTACATGCCGTTAACATGTTAACGGCATAATTTTCTATAATTTAAAAATGCTGAATAAATGTATACACACTACCAGCTAATAGCTGGCCCGTAGTGTTTTATTATATATCAATAAAATTGTAATTTCCTCTTCCAGATATATGCTCGCTATATGTCAGTCCGCGTATTGTACTAGTTATATACTTGGTCTGACATACACAGCGATACATCAAAATTCTTTAAGATTTGCAAATGGCCTACACTATATCATCAGCATTATCTAAAAAGAAACATCTGTTCTTATCAGCTTAATATCTGATAGTATCTGCATAGCAGATCCAGTATATTAAACTGATTTTTGGAAATTGGCGGAATGTCAGGGGCTTGCTCCGCTTCCGCCGCGGGTTGGCCCGGTATTGCAGTACCGCCGGGATCGGCCCATAAAAAACCATCATATAATAATAAATTTAAAAATGTGCATATATTGCATATTAAATATATATATATATATAAATATATATAAATATATTGATATGTAATATCGATAATTGATTTCAAATTAACTATATAAATTAATTATATAAAAACTATAGAATTAATAATAAAATAAAAAAATATATAAAGCTATACAAATCTAACAAAAGATTATATATAACGATAATAGGATTGAAAAATTTTGCAAGTGTCAGAAAATACTTCATATAAATATGACAAAAAATGAGTTTAATATATATAAGTATGAACACACATCTATCGATAAAGAAATTAATATGAATATGAGCGTCTGTTCTCCCAATAACATATTTTTTTGAAAAATTTTGCAAGTGTCAGAAAATACTTTATATAAATATGACGATAAAATGAGTTTAATATATATAAGTATGAACACACATCTATCGATAAAGAAATTAATATGAATATGAGCGTCTGTTCTCCTAATAACATATTTTTTTGAAAAATTTTGCAAGTGTCAGAAAATACTTCATATAAATATGACAAAAAATGAGTTTAATATATATAAGTATGAACACACATCTATCGATAAAGAAATTAATATGAATATGAGCGTCTGTTCTCCTAATAACATATTTTTTTGAAAAATTTTGCAAGTGTCAGAAAATACTTTATATAAATATGACGATAAAATGAGTTTAATATATATAAGTATGAACACACATCTATCGATAAAGAAATTAATATGAATATGAGCGTCTGTTCTCCTAATAACATATTTTTTTGAAAAATTTTGCAAGTGTCAGAAAATACTTTATATAAATATGACAAAAATGAGTTTAATATATATAAGTATGAACACACATCTATCGATAAAGAAATTAATATGAATATGAGCGTCTGTTCTCCTAATAACATATTTTTTTGAAAAATTTTGCAAGTGTCAGAAAATACTTTATATAAATATGACGATAAAATGAGTTTAATATATATAAGTATGAACACACATCTATCGATAAAGAAATTAATATGAATATGAGCGTCTGTTCTCCTAATAACATATTTTTTTGAAAAATTTTGCAAGTGTCAGAAAATACTTATATAAATATGACAAAAATGAGTTTAATATATATAAGTATGAACACACATCTATCGATAAAGAAATTAATATGAATATGAGCGTCTGTTCTCCTAATAACATATTTTTTTGAAAAATTTTGCAAGTGTCAGAAAATACTTTATATAAATATGACGATAAAATGAGTTTAATATATATAAGTATGAACACACATCTATCGATAAAGAAATTAATATGAATATGAGCGTCTGTTCTCCTAATAACATATTTTTTTGAAAAATTTTGCAAGTGTCAGAAAATACTTTATATAAATATGACGAAAAATGAGTTTAATATATATAAGTATGAACACACATCTATCGATAAAGAAATTAATATGAATATGAGCGTCTGTTCTCCTAATAACATATTTTTTTGAAAAATTTTGCAAGTGTCAGAAAATACTTTATATAAATATGACAATAAAATGAGTTTAATATATATAAGTATGAACACACATCTATCGATAAAGAAATTAATATGAATATGAGCGTCTGTTCTCCTAATAACATATTTTTTTGAAAAATTTTGCAAGTGTCAGAAAATACTTTATATAAATATGACGATAAAATGAGTTTAATATATATAAGTATGAACACACATCTATCGATAAAGAAATTAATATGAATATGAGCGTCTGTTCTCCTAATAACATATTTTTTTGAAAAATTTTGCAAGTGTCAGAAAATACTTTATATAAATATGACGATAAAATGAGTTTAATATATATAAGTATGAACACACATCTATCGATAAAGAAATTAATATGAATATGAGCGTCTGTTCTCCTAATAACATATTTTTTGAAAAATTTTGCAAGTGTCAGAAAATACTTTATATAAATATGACGATAAAATGAGTTTAATATATATAAGTATGAACACACATCTATCGATAAAGAAATTAATATGAATATGAGCGTCTGTTCTCCTAATAACATATTTTTTTGAAAAATTTTGCAAGTGTCAGAAAATACTTTATATAAATATGACGATAAAATGAGTTTAATATATATAAGTATGAACACACATCTATCGATAAAGAAATTAATATGAATATGAGCGTCTGTTCTCCTAATAACATATTTTTTTGAAAATTTTGCAAGTGTCAGAAAATACTTTATATAAATATGACGATAAAATGAGTTTAATATATATAAGTATGAACACACATCTATCGATAAAGAAATTAATATGAATATGAGCGTCTGTTCTCCTAATAACATATTTTTTTGAAAATTTTGCAAGTGTCAGAAAATACTTTATATAAATATGACGATAAAATGAGTTTAATATATATAAGTATGAACACACATCTATCGATAAAGAAATTAATATGAATATGAGCGTCTGTTCTCCTAATAACATATTTTTTTGAAAAATTTTGCAATGTCAGAAAATACTTTATATAAATATGACATAAAAATGAGTTTAATATATATAAGTATGAACACACATCTATCGATAAAGAAATTAATATGAATATGAGCGTCTGTTCTCCTAATAACATATTTTTTTGAAAAATTTTGCAAGTGTCAGAAAATACTTTATATAAATATGACAATAAAATGAGTTTAATATATATAAGTATGAACACCACATCTATCGATAAAGAAATTAATATGAATATGAGCGTCTGTTCTCCTAAAACATATTTTTTTTGAAAAATTTTGCAAGTGTCAGAAAATACTTATATAAATATGACAAAAAATGAGTTTAATATATATAAGTATGAACACACATCTATCGATAAAGAAATTAATATGAATATGAGCGTCTGTTCTCCTAATAACATATTTTTTTTGAAAAATTTTGCAAGTGTCAGAAAATACTTTATATAAATATGACGATAAAATGAGTTTAATATATAAGTATGACACACCCATCTATCGATAAAGAAATTAATATGAATATGAGCGTCTGTTCTCCTAATAACATATTTTTTGAAAAATTTTGCAAAGTGTCAGAAAATACTTTTATAAATAT